TAGAAATATAATTAGGATAATAAAAATCTATTAAATGCCTGTTTTAGAAAAGATTTATTAATCTAAAACTTTTAAAGTCATGGGTCACCGAATTATGATGACACATCGAAGGAAAACCAAGTGAGGTTTACAGTACAGTATACGCTATATCAGTCCACCCTCACTCATGTTTCATCACAGAAAATGTCTACAGTATAAGGAGATTTCATCACATGCAGCTAGCTTCTCATGCTTCAGCCTTTAAATTAATTTTACAAAGATGTGTGTGCTATAAATCAGTGAATGAAAATCTGGAAACTCAGTTATTCACTTGTGTGAACCACTCTGGCAGTTGTTTGGTTAATATGGGTCACTTTTTGTGTGGTCCACTTGTCCATTTGTTTGATCTAACTTGTCATATGAAGGAATTATTAATTGTAACTTGTGATATGCAGGTAATGAGAAAGTTTTCCACCAGTCTGTGAACTCTGTCCCAACATCGTAAGCAAATCCGCACATCCCCTGCTGCAGCGAACCAGAGTTCATCGAAATTGGCGAGTAAATCTGGCCTGAAAATGCGCGACCTAGCCAGAGATTTGCCAAATCCGGGTACACCGAATCGAGGTTGTACTGCATTTTTGAACGAGTTCAGTAATGACCTTTTTGAACTTTTCTCCATGTTTCCATGCCGTGATCATCTATCAGCTCCCTCCATGAGGTGTTTTGCAATTCCTCTCTCATTCCTTGATAGTTTCCTCAATGGTAATCTAGAAAGTCATCATCCTGGACCTTTACGAGAGTTTCTGTAACTGTATTCCATCTTAGAATATTGTGATCACACAATGGGGTGATCTTTTCCCCTACTTGAATTTTATAGACCATCCCTTCTTCTGATGTTAGCACAAGGTCCAGAATGCTGTTACAACATGTGGTAAAGCCCACTTGAGGTATGAGAACCGAGTCCTGCACCAGGTCTAGAAATTTATCTCCTGCTTGCAATGTTAGATTTACCCAGTCTATTGTCTTGTGATTAAAATTGTCCATTATAAGAGTTTGGATTTGTGATGCAGCAGCCATCACATTATGCAGATCAGTAACTTCTCTGCTGTTGCTGTGTCAGCCCTGTAGCATACTGCCACTGTTAGTATATTAACATCTTCTTGAGGTTATCTTGAGATGATTTTGGGGCTTAGTGTCCCCGCGGCCCGGTCCTTGACCAGGCCTCCACCCCCAGGAAGCAGCCCGTAACAGGTGTCTTAACTCTTGAGCTAGTATATTGCACCATACAGACTGAGGAACCCATGGTGTTCAGTTCCTCATTGGTGGTTGCATTCAGGTCCTCCTTCACATAAAGCAGTACACCACCTGCTCTTGTTCTGTCCTTTCTGAATGGTGGATGATACCCTGGGAGGAGGAATTTTCCTTCAATAATGTCCTCTCATCTCCAAGTTTCATTTATTCTGAAGACGTCTGGAGTCTCGGTAATAGATGTAATGAAAAAATGTAATAGAACCCATGAGCTCCATACCAGAAATAAATCTCTGATATCCCCAAGAGTCAAACTAAATCTGTGCAAACACTCCATGCAAATAAAAGGACCCAGTCTATGGAACTCGCTTGGTAACGAATTAAAAAATTGTCCAACCAATGCCTTATTCAAAAGTAAAACCAAAAGTATCTAATTTCATCTTCATAGATTCCTACTTGTGCTTCAAACTCACACTGTATCTCATGCTACCCACTTCCCCAAATTAGTATTCAAAACATGCAACTTCACCAGTATAATCATTTCCATCAATTTCTATTGTAGTTAAATGTTGAACTCAAATTTTGCTGCTATGTACGTCAATAAACTTACCTTATCTGTTAGATTAAGGACCTGCTCGAAACGCTATGCATGTTAGTGGCTTTGCAAGAATGTAAGAACACCAATGTTATGTACTCTCACAAACTCAATATACCTTCTTGTATATAAATAAATTAAACAAATCTTAGTGGTACCAGTACTTAAGCTTCGAGAGCTATTGAGGCCGCACCAGAAAATGACGTTTTATCACATTCAAACCCCCTCCCTCTCCCTACACAAAAGCCGGCAGCCCAGGAGCCAAGGGAGAAATGAACACGAGCACCCCAGGCTCCCAGTCAAAGGCCACCTAAAAAAAAAAAAAAAAATAAAAAAAAAAAAAAAAACCAGGTACCAAGTAAAGGAAACACAGCCTCAAGGTAAAATACACAGCACTAGGACAAATTGCCATGGCACACAACCCAAGACCCTAGGGCACACCTGGGTTTAGCAAAGACCACAATCTAGTAAAACAGGAGGCCAAAGTCTAAAGTGCTAAGACCTTGCATTGGGTTAAGATCAAACAGGACTTCAATAAACATCACACAAGGACAACTACAATACACGTAAAGCCGAGAATGTGACAAAAATACAAGATGAAAATACACAACAACAAGGAGACATACCTTAAATATATACCTGGCCACTGGAAACCAGGATGGAGATTCAAACAAACCTGGAAAAGGGTCAAAGAGAGCCACCAAGTGTTGCCTAACAAAAGGGATAGAAGAGGAGCCTGCAATAACAGCCTCATTAAAAGGCCAAACAGGGAGACTGAAACCAGGAAACGCACACACTAACGTGTTCTCAAGTGTACACCCAGCAAAGGTTCAAGTAAATAAAACGCTCATGAACTAAGGCTCTGCACAGTACACACATCAGTACACAGTTAACTACAGGTACTTCAATGCCTTACCAATAGGGTAAGGAACACACTCTTACACTAGAGAACAACTCACATGCACTACTAAGGCAATTTTATTCAAGATTAGCCGACATATAGAAAAGGAACCCAAGCCCCCCTGAGAAAGCACCTCTGGTGGGGCTACGAAAAATGAAAGCCAGCCATCGGGCAAAAAAACCCTGGCTCAATCACAAGTGAAATAGAAGCCAGGGAACATGCAACGTGGGTAGTGTGAAACAATCATGAAACATAAATTACAAAAACAAATCAATGGCACCATACAAAGATGTTCCAGGATAACCAACACCACTTAGCTGAATAAGGAAGAAGCTCGGAGTCACTGCAGAAGTTGTCTTATTAAAACTACTCCTGGCGGGTCTGTGATGTAGGTAACTGGCATAGATCCCAGGTATCTGGGCTTCCATTTGGCGGTGGCCTGCTGCATTAAGGTTAAGGTTTAGTGGAGTTAATTATGGAACCTACCTAGAAATACAGTGTCGAGTGCAATTAAATGCTTTTCTGGGCAGTCCTTAGTAGCTTCCTAAACACACGTTTGCTTTTTTCCTCCTTCCCCATGATTATTTCTTTGGGTTTTGCCTCGATACTGACGAGTTAATGCCACCAAGACCCCAGAAGTGTGGTGGGTGGTGATAGGGGTGTTGGGTTGCGAGTTTCAGGGCAATAGGTAGCGCATTGATGTTTTCCGAGATTGTTTGCTAAATCCTTAATTTTAAAACATCGCTGTACTTTGGAGTGCTGTTATGTTTTGTGAAACGTATGGTAAGTTTTGCTTTAGTAATACAGTATATTGCTATTTAAACTTCACCTTTTTCCCACTCTTCAGAGAAGGCAAGATAAAATTATTGGGAAGGTACTTGCTGTAGTGGAGAGAGATTATCACAAGAGCCTGGCATGTTGAATATGGTCTCACAGTGTTGGTGGTATACCCTGTGGGAAGCTACACCTCCCAGGCGTAAATCCCACTTTCTTGCTAACTTGTCACAAACTTGCATTCATTTTATTACCTATTTGTAGATAAAGACAGAGCACTGTACTCTTAGTATCTCCCCCTTTCATATATAGTTTATATAAAAAAGATTTAAGCTTCCAGTGCACACAGGCATCAAATATCAAATATTATATTGGTAGATAACATATTTACAGAAGTCACCAAAATTTAAGCCAATACAACCTCAATTCAACTAACTACAGTATAGAGGACCAACCCAAATTTGTTGCAATGAGAGATTTGTTGCAATGAGAGATTTGTTGCAACCATAGGTGCCTCCAGGATGCATTTCCCATGTCCTATGGGCTAATTTCATTTAGTGAAATTTTAATTTCACCCTATAGTATAATGGGCAACTAACAAATGAACATGTCTGCACAAAAATTTAACCACATCAGCTTTCTCACGTCACCCAATCTCAAAACTCATTTTCAAGCAGAGCCATATCTTGAGTGACCGAAATCCTTGCCAACTCAAAATGAAAAACCGTAGAATTGGGGTTTAAATATCCTCAGTAACTTTCCTAAGACTCCAACTGTTTCTTGTAATGAGTCCATCTACAAAAATAGTACTTCTGATGCTCTAAGGGCTGATTTCACCGAGTCAAATTATGATTTCAACCTGTCTCATAAAAGGCAACAACCAATAGAACATGTCTGTAAAAGATTTTGCCCGAAACGCTTTGCGTAATAGTGGCTTTAGACATTGTATGTACTAGCTCTATCTATAAATCTATAAATTTTTGTAAAACCTCTTGTATGTATGTACTTTACCTGAATAAACATTTCTTTATTTATATATATTTATTTATTATTTATTTAACCACATCTAGCAGATTTCCCACACACAAACCCCAAAATCTCAGTTTTAAAAGAAAAAGGGCCAATATTTTATAGAACTAAAACCTCTGCAACTGGACAAAAAACACAACCACTGAATGTGAGTAAATTTGGCGTGGAAAGTGTGTGTTGCACCTGGAGGTTTGCCGAATCAAAATTCGTTGAATCAAGATTCCACTGTATCTTCAATTATGTATTTTACCGAAGCATTTTGTTTTCTGTACCGTCACAAATAAACTATACAGGTCTCATGTGCTATTAGGTTTTGTGATCACTTATTCAATAATTGTCAATAAAGTAAAGAATTTGGGTCAGACTCTTACAATTATAAGATGCAAGGATGCATACGACATGCATTTAAATGGTTAGACAAACAAGAAATCAATACCTTTAACAATGACCATGTATAAGAAACATGCAACTTACTCTCTGTATAAGGCAGCATCCAGTGCATGAAAGAGAAAAAAAGAATGTCACCAATTAAAACAGATTGTATTGTTAAAACCTAAATTATCAAAACACAAGCAAAAAACCAGGGTTGAATGTAATGAAACTCCATTTTCTGGGCAAGACCCGGGAGCTTCCTGAAGCTATCTAGACTCACATGTGCTATACTGTATTAGTTTTGGGACATCAGTTATGAGAGTTCTGCCTTCCGGGAACCACGAACCAGAACCTGGCCCCCTCAGAGAGGTGCAGCGAGCAATGGCCATATGTGCACTCTACATTTGGAATATATGTCTGCCATCAATCAGGGTATACCCCCAAAAAGGTAGGCGTAACAATACAAACCTCCAACTGGGGAAAATTGCAACCTACATCAGAACAGAGCCAAAGAACTCCCACCAAAAGAAAATAAACAAGCAAATTTAATATAAAATCCAACTAATGTGCCTGCTCGTTAGTGCCCTCAGGCGAGCTGGCAGCTCAACCCTCCAGTTCGTAGAATGAGGAACACCACCAACTGGAGGGGGGGGGGGGGTTAGAAAGAAGCCTTCGGGGCTCGCCCAGAAAATAGCATTTCATAACATTCAATGATGGGTTTCTGTGGAGAGCCCCATCACCTTCCTGAAGCTATCTACCCACAGAGAAGTAAAAGCAGGGATTTACCCGGGTGGCGGCAGCACTGCATGTCTCAAGACGAAGAAGCGACAGCAGGCGGTGACAGACACCCCAAAGCAACAAGGCCGCAGAGGGCCCGGAAAATTGACAAGATACTGTTCAATTTCCAAAACCCATGCCCGAATATCAACCCAAGACTTTCCCAAATACAGCAGGGAGAGCAGCATATTTCCTCACATCATGGACATGAGGGAAGACCGCAGTCTGGCTAGACTTGATAACCCTGTGGACAACCTGAGACACACGAGCCCTGGAACAGGAAACCAGGAAAACCGGATAAACTCTGAGCATTCTCTGTCACTTGAACCAGTGGCCCGCAGTTACAGTAGTGATGTAAAGCCGCAACAAGACAAAACATGATGTATCCCCGGCCTAACCGACCAAGCATCAACAACCCACGGACCCCTTTGGAAGCCTGCCATCTCATACTTCGCCAGAAAGGAAAGAGAGGGGCTGCAAACTAAGAAAATGACCCCCAGGACCAAAGGAGAAAGGAGAAAACCCTTTGCACCGGAGAAGAGCATGAAGCTCCCCAACCAGATCCTCAGAGGCTAAAGCCAACAAAAACAAAGCTCTCATAAAACAATCATGGACCGAAGGGGCCACTACAAACCGAGGAAAGGAGAGAAGCATGAGCACCTGGTCAAAAGACCAAGAAGGCTCAGGCAGCGCATGAGCAGGCCGGAGGTGAAAAAACGCACGAGAAAACTTATGGAATGGAGCAGAAGAGACATCCACCCCGAATGCAAGCTGAAGTGGCTCTGCAAACACCGCAAGATAAGAAGCGATACTATTCGACACGAGATGTTAGTCCTGAAAAAGCCAAGAAAAAAACGACAAATCCCAGAATCGAAACTGATAAAACCCTACAAAGGGAAAGGAAATGGCGAAAAGACTGCCAGGAGACTTTATACTGTCACTGTGAGGAAGACTGCATGTGGGATACAATCAAAAAGGGGGGAGTTCTTTGGCTCTGTTCAGATGTAGGTTGCAATTTTCACCAGTTGGAGGTTTGTATTGTTATGCCTACCTTTCTGGTGGTATACCCCAGTCGATGGCAGACATGACATACTCTAAATGTAGAGTACTCATATGGCCATTGATTCCCATGCTTCTCTGATGGGGCCAGGTTCTGGCTCGTGGTCCCCGGTAGGCAGAACTCCCATAACTGCTGACTAATATAGCACATATCAGTCTGGATAGCTTGAGGGAGCAGACAGGGGCTCCCCATAGAAAACCAGCATTGAATGTAATAAAAGACCAATTTCTGGGCGAGCTCCAGTGGCTCCCTGAAGCTACTGTACTATGCACAGAGGTCAGCCCGTCTTCATAAACAAAGGCCAAAGTCCATTCCATGCGCCCTCCAGACCCCATTTATGAATGATACGGTTTACACACGACTCATAACTGATGACGCCAAACACTTTCGGAACAAGTGCTTCGTTTATAACTTTTGTTTGAACCACAACATTATAAATGCTTCACCCAACGTACTACAAATACAAATAATCGCCAACAGAACCTAAACACCTAACGTAACCAATGCCTAAATATATGCCGTATGCTAATATATAACAATATTAATTTAAATTTGAGAACATTCTTGTTTTTAATGAACAGCATGTTTAAATTAACGAATGTGTCTTTGGGGTTGACCGCTGGATGGAATGGACTTGGTCTGTGGACAGGTTGCAGAGGTGATACCATTTACTAGTCACATCAGGCATGGAGTTATACAGTATAGGCCTACCAAGGACCAGTGCAAGAACCTGGCCCACTCACAGCACCATAGAGTGGTGACATTTCTTTAAAGCTTTTTCACAATTTGTAGGTTGTTCATGGCCTATTTTTTCCAATTTCTCATTCCATAATGTTGGATTAATTTAACCATGAAGTACCATTTGCCAAGTGTTTCTCAATATACTTATTTTACCCAGGTCTTCTTGAAATGCATGCCAATCATCTAAATTTCTTATTTTCCCGAGTATCTTAGCATCAGCAAACGTCTTCATATAATTCTGTATTAAACAATTATGTATTCTGTGTAAACAACATGCATTACTGGTGCAAGAACTGAACCCTGTAGTTCAGTTCAGTTCACTAGCAACATTTCTCCAGTCACTAGTGGCAAAAAAAAAAGGCAGCACTAGGGAGAACACAGGGAAGGTAACCCTGCATGCATTCAGCTCCAACTACACTCAAAACTTTTCTCACACTACACCACAGTGTACAGGAAATGCCACCAAGAGCAAATATCGCCACTTAGTTGAAAAAGCAGAACACCGAGCCAGCATGGAAGAGATGCGACCTGGTATCTACTAGAGAACTGAGAGCTAAGACCCCCACTAGCAGTGAAATGCCTACCCCCCCTTCCCCAAAATGAGTGGGGGAGGTGGGGTGAATGAGCTTTCCCTGGTTTGGAGAGAATTCAATTGTTTGTTTATGTAATTGGGGGAGTTCTATATGTGGGTTTCAAGGCTTCTGTCTATTTTGAAGCCAGCAGTGGTTTCTTTTGACTTAATGACTCTTGCTACTTCCCCAGCGAGGTAGTGAAAATAAATGTCACCGCTCGCTGTGTTTCTGTGAGTGAGCCAGGTTCTAGCAATGATCCTTGGTAGGCCTATAAGACTCCATGGAGGTTGTGACACAGTAGATGGTACCATCTCAAAGTATAATAGTATCAGAGAGCCACAGGGTGCTTTTTCCAGGAAATTTATAGTTTCTCTATGATGGTAAACAAGTGGCCGAGTTTAAACAATCAAACACATTATTACAAGCAAAAACTAGATACAATTTGAGTGAGCAATCAAATATTTTGATGACTACATGGGGTGCAATGCCTACATGGGGGTGCAAACCCCCCAAAGCCTGTAATGGGAGCATTGCACCCCATTGCACTACATGGGGGTGCAATGCCTATGGGGGTGCAATGACTACATGGGGATGCAATGAGTACATGGGGGTGCAATGACTACATGGGGGTGCAATGACTACATGGGGATGCAATGACTACATGGGGATGCAATGACTACATGGGGATGCAATGACTACATGGGGATGCAATGACTACATGGGGATGCAAGGCATGAATGAGGTATAATGACTACCGATTACAATAACAGGAGTGGGGTCATTTAATTGTTTCAATGAAATTTGGGTGAATATAAATAGGACCTGCCTCATATGGGCCAACAGATCTTCTGGAGTTTCCTTGATTTTTTATGTTCTTATGTAAGTACCAGAGGTGTAATGAGCACCGGAGGTGTAATGAGAGCCGGAGGTGTAATGAGCGGCGGAGGTGTAACGAGCGGCGGAGGTGTAACGAGCGGCGGAGGTGTAGTGAATGGTGGAGGTGTAACGAGCGGCGGAGGTGTAACGAGCGGCGGAGGTGGAACGAGCGGCGGAGGTGTAGTGAATGGTGGAGGTGTAACGAGCGGCGGAGGTGTAACGAGCGGCGGAGGTGGAACGAGCACCGGAGGTATGATAAATATAGGAGGCATAACACTATATACAGTAGACTGGAGGTGTACTAAAAGCAAGAGAATACTTGCATCAGGTGTAACATATACAGGAAATATTTGATTGATGAGATCAATCTAATAAAAAGATCTTGACAATTTCCAGTGTATTTTACTGTGCCCGCTGCACTTGCACACTCTGCCCGCTGCACTTGCACACTCTGCCCGCTGCACTTGCACACTCTGCCCGCTGCACTTGCACACTCTGCCCGCTGCACTTGCACACTCTGCCCGCTGCACTTGCACACTCTGCCCGCTGCACTTGCACACTCTGCCCGCTGCACTTGCACACTCTGCCCGCTGCACTTGCACACTGTGCCCGCTGCACTTGCACACTGTGCCCGCTGCACTTGCACACTGTGCCCGCTGCACTTGCACACTGTGCCCGCTGCACTTGCACACTGTGCCCGCTGCACTTGCACACTGTGCCCGCTGCACTTGCACACTGTGCCCGCTGCACTTGCACACTGTGCCCGCTGCACTTGCACACTGTGCCCGCTGCACTTGCACACTGTGCCCGCTGCACTTGCACACTGTGCCCGCTGCACTTGCACACTGTGCCCGCTGCACTTGCACACTGTGCCCGCTGCACTTGCACACTGTGCCCGCTGCACTTGCACCTCCTGTATGTATTAGTTCTTATTTATTAATAAAAATCATGAAAGCTAAAGAAACTGCAGAAAGCCTATTTATTGGCCCATATGAGGCAGCTCCTATTTATATCCACCCAAACTCATTCACATAAACTTCGAGAAGGTGCCTCATTTGAGCCAATAGGCTTGCTGCAGTTCCTTTTTAATTATGTTCAAATGATGATTTATTTTTTTTTTACCTGTTATACTTCATTACAATCATGTAAGAACTGAGAAAATCATATGAGCAAAATTGATACAAATCATGTAATTTTATACTGTACATGACAATTACCACATTGGCCTAGTAACATTCGTGATGATAACTGCATTTGCAGAGTAAGCAGTCATGAAACGATAGGAGTGTTTCACGGGTAAAGGTAAATTCCACAACATCCATGTAGAGCTATTATATCCATCTTATCATCATCATTGGTAAAAAAACCAGACAGCAATAGTAAAATCAATGTCCGACTGACTTCAGTCATTTATTGTGCACCCCATACCCATCCCGTGGGCAGTGGTAGAAAGAGTTAGAGGCACATAATGGGCTCGGGGACCAAACCCTAGTTACATCTGCAGTGAATCAGACAAACATATAACTGCATTACCCTGTGAATCAATGTATCAACTGCGCTTTAGGGGTCAAGCGGTGTGGGGCAGATGTGGACAATCTACTGGAATGTGCTGGCAATTATTTCTCCACATATAACATGGTGAATGGACGAATGGCCTTCTTCAGGCTCGTGCTTAAATACATCATGAAAAGGGGAACAAATAACAACAATCACGATGAAATTGCTCATTTGTATGAATCGGCTTTTCAAACATTCCAAGTTTTTGTCTATCATGCACAGAGCACAGTTTTGAGTTGTTTGAAAAATGGGTCGGTGATTTGTTTGGTTGTGTAACGAGCTTTGATTTATAGAAAGCAACAATAACAGTGGGAAGTATAGTTTGTAATCTTTCAGGATAATTTATTAAAATATATAGATAATTTATTGAAGAATATTCTAGTGTCACATATTATATATTTTATTTATATATATATATATATATATATATATATTATATATATATATATATATATATATATATATATATATTTATTTATTTATTTATTTATTCTGAAAATGTAAAACTATTAAATATGCAAAGTATTAAATGGTATGTAGACATTAAGGGTAAACAATAATCGATTGCATTTCCTCAAATATATAATTTAGCACATTTCCATATACTACGGTACAGTACCAATATAGTTCAGTACACCATAATTCAATATATCACTTGAGAACTTACCCAAACTTGCGAGTTTCTTCAGTCATCCAAGCCAGCTGCATTCTCCGCCGTGTGACATCAAAGGGATACGAGAAGCTTTGTGCAACTGCTCCAGCCAAACCACCACAAAGAAGTTTAGCAGGAACTAAAAGTACTAGCCCACCTGCATTATAAAAAAGTATAAACATTTACAGAGAGAAATAACTCATCTTTTCTTAATTACACAACATGAACAGCTGCACTGAACAAATATTTTTAGTACAACTGAATGAACTTATTATAATTATATTGATAAAAATATTTAAACACTATAACCACAAAAAGAATTAAAATGTCAGGAGCAAAAAAAAAAAAAAAAAAAAAGAACAGAGGTGATATTACAAAATAGTAATGGAAATCTACAAAATTGATAGGGAAGAATTCCCGAGACTTGGTACATCAAGAATAAGAGGTCATAGATTTAAGCTAACGAAACAAAGCTGCCAAAGGAATACTGTACAAGAAAATTCACTTTCGCAAACAGAGTAGTACGTAGATGGTTGGAACAAATTGAGGTGGTGGTGGAGGCCGAAACAATCGGTAGTTTCAAAGCATTATACTGTATAACAGTGCTGGGAACATGAAACACCACGAGTGTAGCTCTCATCCTGTAACTACACTTAGGTAATTACTCTAAATTTAAGTCAAATATTTTTTTAAAATCTTTCTAAATACAGTGCAATGAGAAACTTGTTATTCTTTCATCCAGTCACAACCCACATAAAATCTGTCTAACTGTAAATATTTATTATAAAACTAATGAATACTGACCAGTGTTTTTTTCGCAAGGTCTGCAAGTATAATCTGGAAGATGCTTCATGCATAAATACTTCATCTGTTCAAAGCAATAGAAGCTCAGGCCAGCATAGGGAATCATTCCACATACAGTTGCAGTGAAGCCCCGATACAAAGCTCGAAATCCACCTTCCTGTGAAAATATTGTATCACATGAGAGCAGAACAAAAATTATTAATTTATTAACATTACACTTTCACTACCTGTATATACTATACATCTTAAAATTCCACCGAGTGGACAGCCTATATTAACAATATGGTGTCAAAGTTCAAAAGCACGTTTATAATTACCATTTCTTCTAAATTTCTTAGCCCGTGAAGATACTAACCACTGCACTGTGCCAAACAACAATTGTCATCTTGAAAGTTGTGCATTTTTTTAATTAGGCTATATTTTAATGTTTTTTAATGCTTTCATCAGTCTTTGCATTTTGAAATGAAAATAGTTGAGTTTGGAAACATCTTGACATTAACTTTACCCAAACATTTATAAAAACAAAAATATATCCTTAACATTTTCGCCACGAACGATGCAGCATTGAGTCGTTTTTTTATTAGGTGGAGTTCCACGAACGACGCAGCATTGCGTTGTTTTTGGCGGCAAATTGGCGGCGGCCTGGGGAAGGGCGCACCACGGTTTTAGACATTATATGCATATACTCTTGTAGGGAATTTCCTTGTGAACACACTGATACCAAAATGAAAGACCTAGGACCAGAATTGAGGTAACAAAGTTGAAAGACGTATACCATTTTATTGCTCTTGACTAGCCCTCACGGGGGTAACACACTGTCACTTTCTCTGTTTGCTGTGGGTGGTACGCTGGGCTTTTGGAGTTTAGATGCATTTACACCTCTAGAGAATTCTATTGCGAACACAATGATACCAAAATGAAAGACCCAAGACGAGAATTGAGGTCACCAAAGTGAAAAGAGTGTACACATTTTACTGCTCTTGCGCGATCCCGGGTAACTCGCTCTCACTTTCTCTGTTTGCTGCGAGTGGTAAGCCAGGCTTTTGGAGTTTATGTGCATTTACACCTCTAGATAATTCTATTGCGAGCACATTGACACCAAATTGATAAACCTATGACGAGAATTGAGGTGACAAAGTTGAAAAGAGTATGCACTTCTCAGTATTACCGCGCTCTCTAATGGAAAGCCTGGAGCTCTCTTCTGGGTAACCGCAGCCAGCTTTCATCACGTCGGCGGGTGGAGCCCTCTACAGTTTTTGACATTATATGCATATACTCCTGTTGGGAATTCTATTGCAAACACATTGATACCAAAATGAAAGACCTAGGACCAGAATTGAGGTGACCAAAGTGAAAAGAATGTACACATTTTATTGCTCTTATGTGATCCCGGGTAACTCGCTCTCACTTTGTTTGCTGCGGGTGGTAAGCCGGGCTTTTGGAGTTTATATGCATTTAAGTCTCTAGATAATTCTATTGCGAACACATTGATACCAAATGTAATGTCTTAGGACGAGAATTGAGGTGACAAAGTTGAAAAGAGTACACACTTTTCAGAATTACCGCGCTCTCCCTCGCCCTCCCGGGGACCGCGAATCCCCACCTGGGGTAGTGCGGCGCTCGCGGGCCCAAAGCATTAAAGTGTTAACAGTTGCACTATGAAGTTTTTGCCACAAACAGGTGTGCAGTGCAGGGGTTAGCTAAGAGTGTAAAAATCATGCACTGAATGTAATGAAAGGCCTCTTGCAAGTCATAAATGCCTACTGAAGACCAGAGACAAATTCTTGTCCAAGGACACCATCCATGTGCCTGGGCAGTCTGGAGTGAACAAGCAAGCATAAGTGCCTTAAAAGAAAACCCTAAAAGCAGAACCTAAAAGCACCCAAAAGATCACCCTCACTTCATGTTCGTAACAAGACAAGAGGATTGTTTGCAAGCCAGAAGGAAGGAAGGAAGGAACAGATCCAATAAAGAAATAAAGTCCTGGTCTTGTTGAAGGTACTGAAGCAAATCTACCCAGGCATAGGAGAAAGATGGAATGTCAAAAGCCTCCACAAAAAGAGGAATCAATGGATCCTAACAATCTGAAAATGTACAAGGGAAGGAACTGCTGAAGAATCAAGCTCAAACATCAATGAAGGATAAGTAAAATCCCTTGCAGTGAGGATAATCCTCACTGATTTTTCTAAGGGATTATCCCTTAGAAAAACACACCAAAGATCTAGAAGAGTTGAAGGGCCTCCATGTATGCCTCTTTGCCTCAACTCCTGCCCTCACCCACCTCCCAGTCCTAAGACTCCACCAGAAACGAAAGATCGTGGAGAAGAGTTAGGATCCACATCAGATGCCAGGGAAGGCAGAAATGTGCCCCCCCCCCTCAATCCACAAAGGAGAATCCACATCAAAAGAACCGCCAAAGCAGAAGGCAGCAGATCCCTGCCAAGAAACACCAGTTCAACTACCTCCAAATAAGGGAGGCCAAGAAGCCAGGCAAATAACAAACTAGACCAGAGGAAGAGAGGGATGGAGGAACAAATTTAAAACAAGAGGTCATACCCATACTAGTAGACCCCTGTTTCCTGTGTCTATTGAATAGACCAAATTTTGTCTGTGATCTCCAGTAGGCATTTATGACAAGGGCTGGCTGTGACACTGTATGTATGAGGCTAACCAGGAAGATATTTCAGGGAGCCACCAAGGGCCAATCAGAAAAATACAAAAATAAAAATCAAGGTTCGAGTACTGTAACATGAAAAGCTACTTCCCCACAGTTGTGTCTACAGGAGAGGATGATGCTCACTCAGGAAAGATCACATACTGCAATGTTATCACAGGACATATCAAGAGAATGCTTTCCAACAAATTTCCCTTACTAGCTGCATTTGCAAAACATTCGAGAGAATGGTCCTAAACTGTCTCCTCCATAGAATAAGAACCATGCTATTCCCCCCAGATATATGGCTTCATGCATGGAAGGAGTGTGCATTATTGCATCACCACCTTCTTACCCTGCACACTGAAAAGTCATACCACCTTCCTAAATCTCAAGTCTGCCTTTGACATTGCAAACCGACACGTTATCTTGAGTGAGCTTGCGAGAATGGATATGGGTGATCGGCTTCTTTGTTGGATCAGAGGTTACTTATCCAACAGGAAGTCATCTGTATTTTTACAGGGGCATAGGAGTGCAACAAGAGACTTCGAACTAGGCACCCCACAGGGAAGTGTCCTCAGTCCTACCTTATTTAATATTTTAATAAACACGCTGTTAAATTTTGTACTGAGCAAACCCAACGTGTACATCATTAGCTATGCTGATATAATGATACACACCACTGGAGATCCTAACACGCAGAACACTTAACACTCTACTAGACTACACCTAGGACTGTCAAGACCTAGGTGTAGTCATCTCAGAGAAAATATATTTAAATTGGCATCCACCCAGGCAAGGAGGAGCTGTTCACAAGATGCAATTGTATGATGGCTCCCAGCTTGACTATGTAACAGATTCAAATACCTTGGCCTTGAGGTGCCACTGTATGGTCCTGTTGTATTCAGACTCTGTTGTCAGTATAAAGAGTGGCTCAAGAGCTCTCAAGGCTGTTGCAGGTTATCACTCAGGCTATGGTGCCAACGTCGGAATTGTCAAAATGATGTACTTTGCATGAAGCAGGTCTTTAGTTCATTATGCTGCACCTCTGCTTGCTTTGATATCTGAAAGCAAAGCTTGGAGGGCTTGAAAAATTGCAGAACGAAGCCTTGAGGATACTCCTTGGTGCCCTCATACCACAAAGCTAACATAAAAAAGGAACTTAATATTCCGAGCATCGTTGATCGTGTTGCTGAAATTAACTGTAAAATTGGTATAAAAATGTCTAGGCTAGCTCATCCTAACCCTTGCACAAAGCCCTCCAGAATTTCTTTATTGAAGGTCAACATTGTTCCACATGGATAACTAAAACAGAACTCTGAATGTATCAGATTTATAATTTGTACCCTGAGAGACCAACGGCACTTTCCTGCACCATGGAAGATTACACCCTTTCCAATTTTAATCCCTCCCTTTCCACCCAAGAAACAAATTAGAGATCAGCCCAAGCTTCATCTTGAGGCAAAGTTCAGTGCCTTAAGCCATATTGATGCTCTGTCCACAGAGCATTCTCTCCCTCAAATCACACACACTGATGGTTCCCTACACTGCCCCTTGGGTGTAGCTGGAAGTGCAGTTATCCTGACAATGGGTAATGGCTTATATTTTGAGTAGGGAGTCTGTATAAACAACTGGGCCTCTACCCTTCAGTCAGAACTATTTGCCTTGCTTCTTGCACTGAAATGTGTACAAGTCTCTAAACTTGATACATTAATTGTAATTACTGATTAACTACCAATTTGCCTTCCTTGGAAATTTTGGTCGACTCCAGGAGGTCCAGGATACCACTCTGTTTCTCATCCACCACTCAAAAGACTGTACCTCTGAGTGCACTGGTTAAAACCTGAGAAATGGCCCCCCTTTCTACTGCAGTAGCCAAGATACCTACTCCTGCCCGAGAAAGATGCATCATATCCCATGCTAACATGTCATATCTGCCATAGAATTTATCCCAGTTGCCAGTAAAAAATATTGCATTGGCCTTCCACTATAGCTTCAGAGGGCAGTTGATGCCACTTGCCCTAGATATCCCTTCAGTAACAATAACCTGCCTGAAACACTATGCATGTTAGTGGTTTACAAGAATGTAAAAATACCAACACAGTATTATGTAATCACACAAATCTATTATACCTTCTTGTGAATAAATTATTATTAACAACTAACTGTGATTCCTTCCTTGGGCATACTTCTGTCTACTATTATCCTATGATTGGCAAGCAATTCCTCACTCCTATTTTTTTTTCCTCCATCATTCCCTCTGCACTGAAGTAGATAATAGATAACTTTGGATAATAGATAACTACAGTATAGATAATTTTATAGACAATTAGATAATAGATAACTTTACCCATGCAGCATTTTTTTAGGGGTATCTTCTTCCCAGCACTAATATGGCCAAATAGAAACAGTTACAAAAAATTCCCAGCTGCACCACTGTAGTATGTTGACCTGCCTGGCAGCTTCGGCAGATTGTATTCAAGGTGAGAAGCATCTTATCCGGGAATGACCAAGTTTGATAGCTCAGAATATTTTAAACACAGAAAAAACAGTTTTAACTAAATTGTCAATAGATGCTAAAATATGGAAATGAAATTAGAATAACTTACTGTTTGGAATATAGTTACTGCAGCATTGACAATGCCCGAGTATATATGTTCTCCCGACACCTGAAAGGCTAATCTTGCACGTATAGTATCCAGGGGATAAGTAAGAAACACTGCTGTCACCCCTGCCAGTGACCCAGCAAAAGCCGAGGTAGTTTTGTTTAGGTATCTGTTGTGGCCCCATATGCCATTCAACACCTAAAATAAAATACAAAATACAAAAATAATTAATGTGGAGTCAGTCACAAATGTTATCATGTAAAGTATCCAAAGTTTTCTATGCAAGCACTGTACAGTGCAGTATATTTTATGATAAACAAAATAGTATTACAGGGTATTAAATAATTTGAATAAATAAAAATGAAGTTGTGTGATCTTTGCAGTGTATTCTTTCTGTAGCACCATACACCTTTTTTCCATTTTCTTGCTTTCTTATATGACCCTGGTGGACCAAACTCTCACAAGTCGAGCCTGGCCTCAGGCCGGGCTTGGGGAGTAGAAGAACTCCCAGAACCCCATCAAGCAGGTATCAAGCAGGACCCCTAGCAGTTCTGCCTCTTGTCTCATTTGATTCACTCTACAGTTCTTTTGTTGTTTCTCTTTTTAACACAGATGGGTACAGTACAGGAACAGATGATTCCTGACTCCTATTAGAAGACCAAGAGCTTTCCCTTTTCCTAGCTCATGGCAAGCCTTATCCACTAGTTTTCCATGGAACACGACCTACCAATCTGTTAACTGCTAGGTACTCGGTTACTGCTGGGTGAACAAGGATAAATATTTAAGGAGAGGTGCCTAGACAATCCTCCCTCTGCAGGACTTGAGGTGTGTAATCAGGAGTTGAAATTTTTTCTACACAAATGCCAGAAGCTTATACTGTACTGTACTGTAAATAAATATACACAGGGTGCCTCCTATTCAACAAAGCCAATTAGCAAAGGTTTCAAATCTATATACAGAAAACAGAGTGCAAAACAATGGACATTAATTGGAGAAGTTTAGACTAAAAAAAAAAAAACCTGAGTAAATTCTTGTTTGGAAATGAAACTTTCGATTTATGAAACAAATTGCAGTACCAGGTAAGATAATAGACATGGGTTCAGTGGATTGTTTGAAGCATATGAATGAGTCGAGAATATAAATAGTAGGAACTTCATATAGGCCAAAAGGTCTTGTGCATTTCCTTTATTCTTATGTTCTTATCTCTTGTCATCTTACTTATGGGTAATTTTTCCCTTAGTTTTGGATTGATCTCTGATCCCCATAGCTCTCTTCGACTCTGGTCCTGGGCCCTGGTATGCTAACGTGACCTTAGAGGCCTAGCATGTCCCCAAGGCTTGGTGGTACAAGCACCAGGGAGCAACCGAGAGCCTACCAGAGAGAGCTTTTATTATATTAACTGCTTAATTAGTATAGTGTAGATAATATTTACATGCCACCAAAATAACTAATGGCTTATTTGTGTCTAAATATTAAGAAATTACATTACAGCACTTTAGTTCAAAATTCAGATGGAAAAAATACTCTGGAACAATGGGAGTGAAGGGGGGGGGGACCTTTGACATGCTTCCAGTTTCTTGTTCCCCATCGAGGACACTCGAGAGATAGTGGACTTCAGGTAAATTTGAGATGAAAATCCAGAAAATTTGGTGACGGACAAAAATGGCAATTTTGTATTGGGAATATGGCTTATTTGCAAATTCCAATCAGATCCAGAATGATATAATCTAGATATTGACAGACAAATATATACAGTAGTTCTATACAAAAAAACAAACCTTCTTGTAGAGCTCAAAGGATGTGAACTGTGTTGAAGCGTAGGGAAAGATCCGAACCATTTGTGCACCATTACCCTTGTACAAGGCCCAAACATTCTCCCGTGCCACAATTTTTCGTAAACCACTGAATACACCTGAGAAACAAAAGCAGATTAATTATGAATTACCTTTTCCTAGTTTTATATACCAATCCCTTCCACTAATATTTTTAGTGCATTAAAATACAGTACAGTAAACCCTAAAAGAATATCTAAGAGTTTAAGAGCTGAAGTTTTTTCCTTCATAATACCCAAACCAGTTGAAATTATCATATAGTGTAATAGTAACATTAAAATTTAGATACATTACAGGACCAAGATATAAAACTAAATCCCAAAGATACAAAGCATGCCAGATACATCATAATAAACCACACACAATTTATACAGGTACATTAAAATTCAGACTAATCAAAAGGGTCCAATGAAACTCACATAAGGTGCAGCAGCTTAAAGCTCAATAAATCGCAAGCCACAATGTAGGATAGACAACAGGCGATGCCTTTTTACCCATAGGGAAATATCTAATCAATGGAATTGCCTATACCCCTGAAAGCCATATACTGCACTGTATACCATGAGAGTTTAATTTCAAAATGTAGCTGAAATGATTGGGAGACCTTTCTAAAGAAACTGGCTTGGCCAGTTCCTGAGCCAGTTTTGGCCAAACTACCTGTCAAGGCCACTGGAGATGGTGGTTAACACTAAAGTTCAGCTATAAAAAAATCTATATTGTAAAAGCAAATTATTCACAATACTAAACAATATTACCATAACAAGCAGAGTTCTTTAAATATTTAATGTATATTGCATTTACAAACAAAAAATCTATATAATAAATAATAATAATAATAATAATAATAATAATAATAATAATAATAATAATAATAATAATAATAATAATAATAATTTTACCATCATGTTTGTAGTGTTTATTGTGTGCTTGAAGGAGTATCTTGATGCGGTCCAAGGGTGCCACTGTTGTCTTGGCACACATCCCTGCTAACCCTGCAGAAAATAAATATGCCATTAATAGAAAATTAAAAAAATTTTAGTAACAAACAAATAACAAAAAAGTTAAATTTACCCGAGGGACCACCATCTCTCTAGAAGCCTCGATGAGGACAGAAAGCCGGCCGCATGTCAAAGGATCTCCCAACTTTTTTTACTGGTTTTTCAAGCCGGATTTCTAAATTCGACGTTTATGGATTCGACGGGTAAGCGGTTCCATTTTTTTAATAACCATATGGTGAAAAAGCATCTCCTTTTTTCTGTCATGCATTGTGGCTTGTTGCGCTTGAAACCGTTGCTTATTGTTCATGTTACATCTGACCTTTAGCAGTAGTAGTCTTGATTAATATCCATATTGTTCAGTATTTTATAAGTTAAGATGAGATCAGCCTTAACATGCCTGGTTTGCTGTGTTAGCCCTGTGACCCCTCAACCGTTCATGGTATGAGAGTTGACTTGGTTCTAGAATGGTTTTTGTCACCCGGTGTTGAACTTTCTCCAAAGCAGCTATATTTTTCTGAAGATGAGGTCCTCATGCTTGGATACAATAATCCAAGTGTGGGCGGACCATAATACATAGGGTAGTACATTGCATTTTGACCCATAAAAGTCAAACGGGAAAAATATAATGTTCTATAAATCATAGCGCCTCGCAAGTCGTTTTCCTGGAGCAGAAAACACCAAGCTCTCCTCTACAACACCCCAGGGACGCCGGGGATCAGAAGACACCAAGCCTCTCCTGTACACCACCCCAGGGACGCCGGGGACCAAAAGATACCAAGCCTCTCCTCTACAACACCCCAGGGACGCCGGGACCAGTAGACACCAAGCCTCTCCTCTACAACACCCCAGGGACGCCGGGGATCAGAAGACACCAAGCCTCTCCTGTACACCACCCCAGGGACGCCGGGGACCAAAAGATACCAAGCCTCTCCTCTACAACACCCCAGAGACGCCGGGACCAGAAGACACCAAGCCTCTCCTCTACAACACCCCAGGGACGCCGGGACCAGAAGACACCAAGCCTCTCCTCTACAACACCCCAGGGACGTCGGGACCAGAAGACACCAAGCCTCTCCTCTACAACACCCCAGGGACGCCGGGACCAGAAGACACCAAGCCTCTCCTCAACAACACCCCAGGGACGCCGGGACCAGAAGACATCAAGCCTCTCCTCTACACCACCCCAGGGACGCCGGGACCAGAAGACACCAAGCCTCTCCTCTACAACACCCCAGGGACGCCGGGGACCAGAAGACACCAAGCCTCTCCTCTACAACACCCCAGGGACGCCGGGACCAGAAGACACCAAGCCTCTCCTCTACAACACCCCAGGGACGCCGGGGACCAGAAGACACCAAGCCTCTCCTCTACAACACCCCAGGGACGCCGGGACCAGAAGACACCAAGCCTCTCCTCTACAACACCCCAGGGACGTCGGGACCAGAAGACACCAAGCCTCTCCTCTACAACACCCCAGGGACGCCGGGACCAGAAGACACCAAGCCTCTCCTCTACAACACCCCAGGGACGCCGGGACCAGAAGACATCAAGCCTCTCCTCTACAACACCCCAGGGACGCCGGGGACCAGAAGACACCAAGCCTCTCCTCTACAACACCCCAGGGACGCCGGGACCAGAAGACATCAAGCCTCTCCTCTACACCACCCCAGGGACGCCGGGACCAGAAGACACCAAGCCTCTCCTCTACACCACCCCAGGGACGCCGGGACCAGAAGACACCAAGCCTCTCCTCTACACCACCCCAGGGACGCCGGGACCAGAAGACACCAAGCCTCTCCTCTACAACACCCCAGGGACGCCGGGACCAGAAGACACCAAGCCTCTCCTCTACACCACCCCAGGGACGCCGGGACCAGAAGACACCAAGCCTCTCCTCTACACCACCCCAGGGACGCCGGGACCAGAAGACACCAAGCCTCTCCTCTACAACACCCCAGGGACGCCGGGGACCCACTTCCAGTAGCTCCTGCAGCCATACATTACCGCCAATCATTTCCTCCCCGCTATGCTACGGGCCACGGATCCCGTAGCACCACGAGCTTTTCTCTCCCACCCAGACTCCTTAAGCAACCTGGTATCATCCGCAAGCATTAACATACAACAAATTGTTTAGAAGAGATCATTAAAATGAAGGTGAGGCGCCATGCTACCTCAGACGTGTTTCAGTGTTCTTTCCGTTACTCCAGCAAGTTCCTGGAGTATGAGCAACTTAGTAAGGGCAGTGTTAAAATTGACGGCGTTTACAAATGTCCTCCTCCCATCATTCCCTTTTCTGAACCCTTCTTGAAGCTTGAAGACCAAACCACACACCAGAAGATGAAGAAACGATAGTTTCGGTCCGTCCCGGACTTTTATCAAGTTGTATGCGAGTTGATAATGATCTATCTTGAGGTTATCTTTGAGATGATTTCGGGGTTTAGCGGCCCCGCGGCCCGGTCTTGGCCCAGGCCTCCATTTTGTTACACACCCCCAGGAAGCAGCTGTCTAACTACCAGGTACCTATTTACTGCTAGGTGAAAAGAGGCATCAGGGTGAAAGAAACCCTGCCCATTTGTTTCCGTCTCCACCGGGGATCGAACCCGGAACCTTAGGAATACGAATACCAAACGCTGTCCACTCAGCTGTCAGGCCCCTTGAGTGGCCTTGACTCGCCTTCATGATCCAGGATAATGATTCACATACGACTTGATAATTGGTCCTGCCAGATTCACGAAGCGTCAAAGATTGATGAAAGATGTAGACGTTCGTAAATACTTGTGTAACCGCTTCGTGAATCTGGCCCCAGGACGACCGAAACGTCGGCGTCTCTTCGCCTTCCGACGTGTGGTTTGGTGATCGTATCTTCGGCCGCGTTACTGTGCCTCATCGTCTGCATCTGATCCCGCCTTCTCTTATTTTACAAAGTTCTGCTTTACGAGTGTTCTAGTATTAGTAGTTTTGTTACTGTCGGGAATTCTAGTTGGTGCGGTAATTAGTGATGCTGACGTGTGGTTTAGCACCTCCGCCTCTTCTTATATACATATAATCGGCATTTTCCAGTAGTTCTCTCTTCTGAGAGCTGTTCAATATGTTTTATGCATATATATTTTATACACGCAAATACGTACGTACGCGTGCGTATGTGTGTGTGCTTACCTAGTTGTGCTTGCGGGGGTTGAGCTCTGTCTCTTTGGTCCCGCCTCTCAACGGTCAATCAACTAATGTACAGGTTCCTTAGCCTGTTGTTGTTTCAGATTTAGCTACTCAGAATGAAGTGTCCATGTAGCACGGGCTATGGTGAGCTGGAACTCTGGTTTCCTGAGCCTACTGGGCTCTATCATATCTACACTTGAAGCTGTGTATGGAGTCAGCCTCCACCACATCAGTTCCTAATGCATTCTATTTGTCAACTACTCTGACACTGAAAAAATTCTTTCTAACGTCTCTATGGCTCATTTGGGCACTCAGTTTCTACCTGTGTTCCCTAGTGCGTGTGCCCCTTGTGTTAAAAAGTATGTCTTTATCTACCTTATCAATTCCTGAGAATCTTGTATGTGGTGATCATGTCTCCCCTAACTCTTCTGTCTCCCAGTGACGTGAGGTTTAATTCCCGTGGTCTCTCCTCGTAGCTCATACCCCTCAGTTCTAGTACTGGTCTGGTGGCAAACCTTTGAACCTTTTCCAGTTTAGTCTAATGCTTGACTAGATATGGACTCCATGCTGGAGCCGCATACTCCAGGATTGGTCTGACATATGTGGTATATAATGTTCTGAAAGATTCCTTACACAAGTTTCTAAAGGCCGTTCTTATGTTAGCCAACCTGGCATATGCCGCTGATGTTATCCTCTTGATATGAGTTTCAAAGGACAGGTCTGGCGTGATATCTGGTTGATACCTGGTTGATGGGGTTCTGGGAGTTCTTCTACTCCCCAAGCCCGGCCCGAGGCCAGGCTCGACTTGTGAAAGTTTGGTCCACCAGGCTGTTGCTTGGAGCGGCCCGCAGGGCCACGTACCCACCACAGCCCGGCTGATCCGGAACTTCTCTTAGAAAACCGTCCAGTTTTCTCTTGAAGATGTCCACGGTTGTTCCGGCAATATTTCTTATGCTCGCTGGGAGGACGTTGAACAACCGCGGACCTCTGATGTTTATACAGTGCTCTCTGATTGTGCCTATGGCACCTCTGCTCTTCACTGGTTCAATCTTGCATTTTCTTCCATATCGTTCACTCCAGT